GACCAATGCTCCAACAGATGAACTGAATCATTGACCAGGAAATGTGGCAGCAAAAAAAACAACAACAAAATCTTTATAACGGATATGGCCCCAATGGACGGATCATCACTGTGCTGCAGCCGAAGCTTTGGGTAACCGCTCCCGGCCGAAGCGGGGATTGGTTTCACAGGAGACCACCACTGGTTCCCTCACCGGCACCACACTCCCTAGGGGAGATGGTGCATTTAAAGTTACATGTAAGTATAAATGGCATATCTCGTGTGGATTTGCCGGACATATATTCCTAACTGATTTGTGGGTTTGGCCGAATGGATTCAGGGAGAGTTACTTGGTGGGTTGGATGGAGGGAGAAAAGGAGGGACGGAAGCGGACGCAGGAGGGAATTGGAAGGATGGGAAGTGGAGGTCCTGCATCAATTACCCAGTCTCAAGCTGTGTGGCGTAACTCTCTTCAAGGACTGGTTCCCAAGTGTTGATCCATTGTCGGATTGATGCCGTGGGCCATTGGGATCTTGTGTTGATTGGTGTTTGGAGAAGCCATGCCTGTTCCGTTCTGAGGTTTCCGGTGTATTTGTCATATAGCAGCTGAAGTTCATGGATAACCTGTCGGTTGGCTGCCTGTGCCTTGGTTTGTGCGTCTTTGCCATGCCGATCGTGATTCCTGGCCTCCCAGAGTTCGAACCACTGGTTGAGCAATTCTTGAATAATCCCTGTGAGCCAGGTTTGGCCATTTTTCCGATGTGTTTTGAGATTGCATTCCTTAAGGTGTTGATCCTGGCTTTGCACCCACTGTTTGGATAGTCGTCCCTTGAGGAGCTGATCCCAACCGATGGCTGCTTGGGCGTTTACGATATCGGTAACACTGTCATCGTATTCAATTCCTGTGGTATCTTCTCCATCGAGTACTTTTTGGAGTGCTGAGAGAAGAAGTGTTTGTAGCATTGGGTGAGTGTTGTGCTTGTCGGTGTATTGCTTGAGTGCCTTCTTCCATGCCGTTCGTTCCGATTGTCGCTTGGGGCATCTCAGGACGTGTTCTCTGTTTTCTTCTGGGGCACCACAGGATGCGCATGCAATGGGATATTTGGGGTGGTATTTGTTGACACGTTTACCGACGGGGTGCCAATTGCAAAGGTACTTGGTGAGGGAGGTGCGATGGTGATCCAAGCGATTGAGTGCCCTCCCATGGCATTTCCAGTCGATATCTTCAAATGTGTCGCTGTCCCACTCATGTTTATTCATGAGAAACTGTTTGTGTTGAGGCACCGATCCTGCCAGTTTGAGTTCGTGTTTCAGATTGTGTGTGATGGTTCCACCTGGAAGATTGAGCTGACACCCACTCGTTGGAAGAATTGGGACTTGTGTGTGGTCGAAGTTTGGGTGGTCCACCAACCATTGGTTGGCTAGGCCGTCGGCGTCGACATTGAGTTGGGCTTCCAGCGTTAATTCATCATATGGTTTCTCATCGTCCTGATGGCCTTTGATGTGTTTGATTTTAGGGATGGAAGTGGCCGGTTGGATTTGTTGTAGAGTTTGTCGAATTTCGGCGATAATGTCCCACTCAGCGGATAAGGTACTGTTTGGAAAGATCCTGTTGAATTTGGAGTATTTCACTGTGACCTCAACCATTGATTTGTTATCACAGAAGCAGCCATGCCTGTGGATTGGTATGTCTGTTGAGTGAATCGTGGTCATGTGGTGGAGGAATCGAAAACCGGACAACATCCCGTATCCTTCGGCTCGGTATGAGTTCAGTTGGTAACCAAATGCCGGACCGTTGCACTGAGCCAAGCGGGTACCTTGGGGGTCACTGAGGATCCACCCAAAAGATCCCTTACCATCGGGAGCTGACCCATCACAGGCCAGACTGCAAGCTTTCGTAACAATAGCTGTCCAAACCTCAGTTTCGGGAACCAGAAAGTGTAAGTCCCGGAGTAGATGCTGTTCCCAGGCGTCCAAAGTAGGAATGAGTGTGTTGATTGATGTGTGTGTTTCTGGCTGCTGTTGCTGTATGACATTCTCATACCCCGTCATTTGAAGTGTATAGGGTCTCACTTTGTAATCACACGGGGCCGCAGTTTCAGGTGGAGTGTTGACAATGCCAGAAGGTGTCTGGTCGAAATCGTATCGGATGCTCTGATGCATGGTCCATCCCTCAGTGAGTGTGACAATACATGTGATCGGAGATTTCCGTGTCGGATCCAGGGTCGTACAAGGCAGGCCATCGTCGGAGTTGCGTTGCGGGGAGTAGCCAGGTGGTAAGGTGGTGTTCGGTTTTGAGATATTTCTTCTTCCTGGACGATGTGTAACAGAAGTAACCCAGTGCCCGTCTCATGCTTTCCAGGCTGTCTCGTTTGGTTTGCTTGCTTTACTCGTAAGTGGTTGCAGGTGCTGAAGGTTTTGTTCGAAATCTCCAGAGTACATGGCAGGGTCAATGGTGTCACCGGCCGCATTACAAATATCCGAGAGAAAAAACACATTGAGGTACATGCGACAGTAATTGATGCGACGAATTTCGCATGGCTCAAAATAAGCTTTGCCTGTGTTCTTGCCGCTGGTTGGGTAGCTTGTACCACTACTACATGATTGCTTTATCATTGGTTCTTTGTGCCTTAGGAACGTAGGGGTCTTAAGTTCTAGATTTCCGTCAATGGATCCCAAAAAACTCTTGAAGGGATTGAAGCCACTTGGATTCGAGGTGATGAGTCAATGGAATCTGGGGGGTTCCCAGAACAGACCAACTCACACCTGCACAGAACTGCAACCATGCCACGGTGATGTGAAGGAGTTTTCCCTGAGGACTGTTTGGGGAGCGCCAGCTTTTGATGAATTGGCGGCATTGGCCGTACCCCTGATCGTCATACAAATGAAAGAGACCGGCACCGCCCATGTATTTTGGCCCATGCAGAATTGCTTTTGGGGTGTTTGGGTTAAAACCCATTTTGGACGTGAAGGCCCGTTCGACTTTTCTTTGGGCTTTGTCTAGTTCATCGAAGGTAAAATAGGCCATTGGAAGGGGATAGGAGACACTGGGCCGGTAGATGGTCCAATATAGCAGGTGAGCTTCCTTCGGAGAAAGGTGGCTCGTTTTGACAATGCGGCAAAATTCCTTGCACTTTTTGGCAGTGATATCTAACTGGGTCTTTTTGTCAGCCGGACATTCGTAGCATCCCAGATACCTTGTGGCTTTGGTGTTGGCCCATTGCTTGATGACCAGGAAATGTGGCAGCAACAATGGGTCCAGCCATCAATTGCCTCACCTATATGTATGGAGCATCAAAAGCCAAAGGCAAGTCAGTTGACCAAAGCTCCAACAGATGACAAGTCAATTGACCAATGCTCCAACAGATGTACTGAATCATTGACCAGGAACTGCGGCAGCAACAATGGGACCAGTCAGCAAATTTCCTCACCTATATGCTGTATGGAGCATCAAAAGCCAAGGGCAAGTCAGTTGACCAAAGCTCCAACAGATGACAAGTCAATTGACCAATGCTCCAACAGATGTACTGAATCATTGACCAGGAACTGCGGCAGCAACAATGGGACCAGTCAGCAAATTTCCTCACCTAATATGTATGGAGCATCAAAAGCCAAGGCAAGTCAGTTGACCAAAGCTCTAACAGATGACAAGTCAATTGACCAATGCTCCAACAATGAACTGAAACATTGACCTGGAAACTGTGGCAGCAACAATGGGTCCAGTCATCAATTGTCTCACCTATATGTATGGAGCATCAAAAGCCAAAGGCAAGTCAGTTGACCAAAGCTGCAACAAATAACAAGGCAATTGACCAATGCTCCAACAGATTATCCCAAACATCGACCAGGAACTGCGGCAGCAACAATGGGTCCAGTCAGCAAATTTCCTCACCTATATGTATGGAGCATCAAAAGACAAGGCAAGTCAGTTGACCAATGCTCCAACAGATGACAAGTCAGTTGACCAATGCTCCAACAGATGACCTGAAACATTGACCTGGAACTGTGGCAGCAACAATAGGTCCAGCCATCAATTGTCTCACCTATATATATGAAGCATTAAAAGCCAAGGGTGCGACGATAGTGCTCCAGCTTTGATGAATGGCTCATTGTATCTTTGGTTAGTGTTGCCAGCATTGGCAACAACTTTGTGCAACCTACTGACAACTTTTGGCCTATGAAATATTGATTGCATGGACATCATTGTCCACTTAGAAATAGCTAGCTAAAACCTGCTAAGCCTCAGTTATTTGTAATTGCCAGTATTGTCGCGTGGTAGCATGCGAGATACATGATCTCCACCACAGCTTATTCCTCTGCTAAGCTTGCTTCGCTTTTGTAATAGCGCGAAAGATTGATTGAGATCTCTTGCACGTATTACCAGCGAACTAGTCCTACAAGGAAGCAATTCCCAAAATAGTAACTCGTACAAAGAAATTTGGAAGCAACCACGAGAGCAAACCTATCGACACTCTCAACCAGAGACCCATTGACACTCTCACACAATCGAAAGACGCTTTCGACACCACAGCTATTAGCCACCCTTACAGTGTGGAAGCAACGCAGATTTGTGGATTTGCTGACACAACGAAAACTGAACTTGTGACCGATTCGAGCTGAACCAAGACAGTTGCCTATCAACCAAGACCTCCTCTACAACGTGGTACCATTATCTCCTTGTTGATCGCCTTGGTTACAGCAGCTGATAGTGGAATAGACTGCCATTGTGGACTTTTCGCAAAATCAAGTCAAGTGTACTGGACAATTTCAGTGTACTGGACAGTTTTGAAAGCAAGCAGAGCCTTCCATCTGAATCCTTCCCACATTTCCGTGGATATTCTTCTTCTTGGAGCGTCAACCCACTCGGAGCTTCAAAAGATACTCAAAAGATACTCTATCTCAAACACCCACCCACACACGGATACACTACCACAGACAGCTACCAGCATCTTCGTTTGGAGACCACACTAAATTCTACAGTAATTTGCGTCATTTATTCCTCAGCATTAAGATTTCTACTGAATGACCCAAAACTCACCGGGCAACTCATCTGAATCTGAATCCAATGACTCCAACCAACCAGAACCTCCAACCAGCAGCCTCTACGACTTTGTTTCCAGTCTCATCTCGCCTGCTGCAAACGTTTCTGGTGATCCAGACTCTCGAACCTTCTCGTTCGATTCCAACCAACACGACGCCGAAACCAACATGGCTGAACCTGCCCCCCCCCCCCCCCCCGTCGCTCAGACTTTCACTCAAGACCAGCTCCTTGAACTCCTCAGGGCCGCTGGACGACAGCGGGATGCATTTCCTACTCTCAAGCAGCCCCGGGTCGGAGGACTCAATGCGACTGGAGCTTGGACTGGACATGGAGTCGGCGGCGAAGGAACTTCTCCCATGAGCGCCCAGTGCATGAGAGACTTCAAGACGGATGTAATCAAGAACCATCAGGCTCTCTCTCCCATCGAACTGAAGTGCAAAGAGGGACTGAGTGGCTCACCCGACCTTCTGTTTAATCTCCCTGGCGAACCAAACGCGGATAAGGTAGTGCCATCGCTTATTGCTCTAAGCGAGTTCATGATCTCAGTTGGGATGGAAAGCGTCTTTAGAATCATTCAGACCGATGGCACTCAGTTGGACATGCTTCTCCAACCTGGTATGGTTTCCAGCGACATTGAGCGAACCTGGCATAAGGATCTAACGGTCAATGGAGTTATCAAAGTTGATGATCAGGGCCGTCCTGTCATGGCCAACGGTGCTGTCGATCGTTTTGCTCAGTGCTCATATGATGCCCAGAACCTGCATTGGTCGGGTGAAGCCGTGCTCAACTCTTGTTCGCCAACACTCATGCAGGACCTTAAGCAAGTCATCCCAAAGCTCGCTGATCGAACTGGTCCCCATGTCCTATTTACCATTCTGAAGAAGATTTACCGCCCATCCAGCTCCAAGATCAAGAGTCTTGTCAACAAGCTAGAGGCACTCAAGTTGACAGATTACCCTGGGGAAAATGTCTCTCACTTTGTCCACGATGCATCTGCTATCGTCCGGGAAATTCAGATGAACCATATGCCAAATGCAACAGTCCCTGACTTGACAACTTGGGCGCTCAAGGGTCTTACCACGGCAAGCGACCCATTGCTTCTCCAAAGTATGAGAGAGCTTTGTCTTGCCAATGATGTCAGTGGATTTGATTCGACTAACAAACAAGTGATGCGTCCCATCGCTGCTCTTCGCAAAGGTGAAGACCTTTACACCATGCTGGTCTCTCAAAGTGACTATGCACCTGCCCAGCAGATTTCTTCTGATACCAAGCACAAAGCTATGCTAACCCAAATGGCTGCCATGGTGGCTAAAGAATTGAAGACCACACTTACTCAGGACAGGTCTGCAGGTGGCAGCAGCGGTGGTGGCAGTGGGAGCAGCAGTATCAAGTGTTGGACATGTGGAGGTGACCACATGCAACGTGATTGCCCCAAGTCTGGCAGCAGCTCTGGATCTAGCGGCAGTAACAGTTCCACTGGTCGTGGCATTGCCAAACATGGACTGGATGAGGCCACTATTGCAAAAGTGAATGCCCAGTGCAAGGAAGTATACAAGACAATGCATCAGCTCCATGCCAACATTCCGGACGATGCCCAGTACTCTGTCGTCATTGAAGGCAAGACCCTGGCCAAGTTCTGTCGTCGCTGTGGTCGCTTCTCCAAGGGAGCCAGTGCCCACTATACGAGTGAGCACAAGGGAGCTAATCGAGTTGCATATGTTCCCGCTAGTGGTGTTGAATCGCCCCCTGCTGCTGTTGTACCACCACCCCCAGTGGACACAGGGGTCACTGCTGGAGGAAATCTTTGTGGTGCTGTTCGATTTGCTGATGCTCCAGTTATTGATCCACAGGAGTTCATGCAACGGGATGAAGTCAACTATGATATGGGCAGTATCCCAGTTGTCGACCATCACTTGGCTGAAGCTTTGGAGGAAGACGACGAGTTTTCCTTCCTGTCTCTGCTTTTAAAAGGATACGGCAGGTAGGCCTATTTGCATATGGCCTACTGATTGTCGTTTACTTGCACCATGTCGGATATTATGGCTTATCCCTGCAGCCAACACATGCTATGGAGGGAGATATTCATGGACTTGAACATACCATGTGTTCCTCTCGGGAAAAGCCAGCTCTGCCATCCCTACGGAGATTCACTCAGTGGTCCTCAACATTTTGGACTCCATTTGTCCCAAGTCTCAGCTCGTTTGTATATCCCGCATCCATTGGTTTTCTCTTTCACTCAAGCTGTGTCCACCTACATCACTGGTTCTACAATTGGGTGCTAGCTCTTTCTGGCTTGTGTTGGGTATCGTGGGCGCTTCGCTGCACCAAGACTGTCATTCCCACTTTGGACACCCTCACTTTGGCAGATACCTATTCCAGTCTTCCGCCTCCTGAACGATGGAAAGGTTCCCAATGACGTGCACAGGCTCGCCATGTTCCTTTCTCCAAGCAAAGACTATTAATGATGATGGGACTCCTCAGCTTGTCAGTGTGTCAATCACAGCCCATTGCCCTGTCCCAGGACTTGGCTTTTGAGAAGCATCTGAAACGCCTTAGGGGCCATAAAGGCGCACTTCGAACCAACAAGTTGAATGACAATGACCGTCTTTCTTTGAATATGCTTTTGGGAGACAATAAGCAGCAGTTTGGAGTTGTTACTAAGGGACACCCAGATGCTTTCAGTGCTATCATTGACACTGGATGTTCTTTCTCAGCTACCAACAGCTTTGATGATGTGGAGGCAGGATCTGTCAGAAAGCCAGCTGAACCAATTCGCCTGGGTGGAATTGCGGGAAGTCTCATGGTTGAATATGTGGGCAATGCTACATGGGAAACTCTTGACGACAATGGCAATGTTGTTCCGTTTCCAGCTAAGGTGCTCATCCATAAAGACTTACCTCATCATCTGGTCGGCCCCCAGGCCTTTTTGGACCATCAATCTGCTGATGAAAAGTGTGACACAATTGAAGACCACTTCAGAGTTTATCGGTCTCACTCTGAATGGTGAACTAAAGGTACCAAAACATTGACCATGTGATACGACTCTAGTTTCTTACCTTGAAAGCGTTACAGTTCCTCCCACGACTCAGAGTATCCGTGAGTAGATTGAGTCATGCTTTATGAGTCAACACGATGGAACAGAGAACGCTGGCAAGAACACGTTCTCAACGAAACCAAAGGACACGGTAAACTGGAGTATTCGACAGGAGTAAAGCATTCTGCCAATGAACCGTTTCCCGCAGATACCACGTTGACTTCCGTATGAATCAAGATCAACTACCACGATGCATTGATCTAACACGCTACGAACTAGCTTTACTGATCGCATCAATCAAAGCTCACAACACAGATTATGAATTACTAAGAAGCGAACTTTGCATTTACTTTGCACTCGTCTTGAATAGTTGCAGCTGATCTCATTGGGTGGTAGCTACCTCTACAAGATCCCTCTATTCAAGTAGTATTTCCTCACGTTAGCAGATTAACAGTCGCAGCTACGCACTGCCACACCTCCATCAAGATGGCCGATGAACCAGCCAGGCTCAAGCATGTCCTATGCAACCTATGCGGCGAAGCCGCTTCCACCACAGGGTACAATGCATGTCACATGCGCATCGCAGTGTCTGAACAAGGAATCGACGGATGGATGAATCTCCTACTTCTCACCAAAGATGAAGTTATGGATCTCCAAGCTTCCAACGACACCAACGGCCCTCCAAGACCAGTACCTCTCACCAGGAAGAAGCTACTGCTCGCGACGATACAGATGTATCACCATTGGTTGTTTAAGAAGAAAGCACCCGTCCGCATCGTCTCGCTGACGGTCACCGCCCTCGATGCTTTCAGAGTTGGACTCTTCCAGCCACACGGCGAAATCGTCCCATGGCAACAAATGAGACGCAGCGATGCCACGATGACCAACGGGGAGCGTGCAATCGCACTTTGGGACAAGAACAACAAGCCCGTCCGCTCGGAGTTCAGAGAGTTTCACGACGAATCAGTCTTCATCAAATGGAGGAAGAACTTCCTCAACACGCTCAAATCTCAAGGTCTCTCCCACCTCATTGATTCTGACTTCACGGTCACCAATGTCGAACTAGACGAGAAACAACGAGAATGGATGTACAAGACCTTCGAAGACATCTTCCAAGAAGCACAGGCACGATCTGTCGTCCTTGCCAACAAAACCGACAAGGACACTCGTGCGATCTGGAAGGCAATTGACGAATATTACTGCAAGTCCATGGTCGCAACCCTGCGCTCGGATAAGATTTCGTGGTATCTCACCTCCGCCGATATCGCAGAAGGTGTATGGAGAGGGTCCCAAGCTGGTTTCATCTCCAGCTTCCTCAAACAATTTCGGCAGTACAATGAGATCAGCGACGAGCCATACAGTGACCAGCAGGGGGCACGTTTCTTGGAACGCTCAATCTCCAAGGCACCAAATCTCTCTCCTGTACGACATCTCGCACTGCAAACCAAGAAAGCTGTGTTGGAGGTTGTATTACAGACACCTCAATACAAATTAGTCGTTTATCCCAATCTAGTTATAGGGGATATCTATATCTATTCTCTAGTTACATACATGGGGAGTTTAACTGACCTATATGGTCACCCCCTTCACTATATCCTTTGAAGTTGAATCAATCCCAGAAAACATGGAGAAAGATCACTTCTTGGAAATAGCTTAACAGTAAAACAGTATTTTACCTTTACTAAGCTAGAGTGTTACTAGCAACCAACACTATTTCCAAGAAGATCATCTCGTCGCCAATGGCGACATCGATATCGACACCCTTTATGATACATGAGTCGAGTCTATGCTAAGGTAACGAGCGTAACAGCAACAGAGCAAAAGGGGCAGGCTGATAGGCACTAGCCCCACTATCAGAGCTACCAAAACAGCTCAACAGGCAAAGCTCCGCACCAGTGTCGAGCACGAAATTGTCTCACCAGTTCCTACAGCTCGAACACGACGAAAGCAATCACACCCAGCCAAGCTCACAGGAGTAAGTTCCGGAGCAAGGAACCAAGTTCACGACAGACGTGATTCCAACAGAGCAAGAACAGTTACCGTACCGGTGCACGGTCACAAGGACCAAGCCCGCAAGCAAGCAAACAACGAAGCTCACAGGAGTGAGCAGAAAGATTACTACTACGGTGTGACCGTACAAGCCAAGCCGATCTACAAGCAAGATCAGCTCACAAAAGTGAGCGAACACCAAGACTTTGCGCTGTGGAAACAGCCATCGTACCATGACTGCTGCCACCGCGTCATTACGAAAAACAACTACAAGAGTAGTGCCACATTTTGCCACGAAGACCAAGCACGCTACTGTACGTACGGAGCGCAAGCAGCCAAGGCTACTACGGAAACAAGTGGTCGTACCAGCGTACAGGAGTGACCCAAAGAGTGTCAACCTGAAGAGCACGAAACCAAGAGTGTTGGCACGGAAGAGGAACTAGATAACAAGTTCCAACAAGAAGAAGAATAACCACAGAGGTACTTCTGCGGGAGTTCCTTCAGCCTCTCTATCAAGCCATCGAATCAGTGCTGATAGAAGAGAGGTGCGATGGAACAGAAAATCCCATCGCACGAACCAAGCGAATTACCAGGTCGACTACTCGACAACGACAGGTCCTACAACAGGACTGTCATACAACAAGTTGTGCTCCGAACACTAGCGCAACAGGCACAACAAGGTAGAAGCACTGACAACGCTGAGGAAGGAAGATTCATCCAACGGCGCATTCAAGGAAAATTGAAAGCAAACCCATCAAGAACAAGAGTAGCCCGTCAACAATCGATCGAACGACGACCGCTACTACTGCTACCGCCACAGAGACACCAAGAACAGCAACCGCTACTATTAGCCGGTTGCCACTACTGCTACGTTGAACAAGAGCAGAGGCGAACAAACAACAAAGACATCGGACGAACGAACGACGACCAGCTCCTACCGCTACCAGGCAGGTACAGCAACAAGAAGAAGAACAACGCTACTAGCCAGTCGCTACCGCTACTCCTATGAACAGCAACAGCAAGACCGGCAGCGACATTGTGCCGATCGACAACAGGGTCGGCAACTGCTGTCGGCAGAAGAAGACTTTGCTTTTTGTGAGGAAATCGCTGACAGCAATGCAACAGTTCCACGGAACGGCAAAGAACAGCCGACAGTTCAGCGAACGGCAGCCACAAGCCGCTGAACGTCACAACGGAAAAGGTATCTTCCGTGATATCTTTCCAGGAGTGTACGGAGCCAGATCCAAGCTACCGTTCGATCTCTTCTTACGTCGGCAACAAGAGGATTTCCCGTGGAGATCCAAGCCAAGTCTCCGTGCGTCGCAGCGCATCATGTCTAGCCACCGGTACATCAGCCAGAGTGAGCTAGTAGTGATGCTGCACGCCCTGCAGACAGTTGCTAGCCAGCAAACGGCACAAGCGCTACAGGAGATCCAAGCCACCGGTACAGGAGCTACCGGCACGTCCAGTGCCAGCCACCGGTACAGGAGCTACCGGAGCATGTCCCGTGCTAGCTACCTAGCTCTAGCTGGAGCCAGCTACTATAGCTAATCAGCTGGCGCAAGAGCACAGCAGTGCAGAAGCCAAGCTACAGGAAGCACAGGAGTGCATCTGCCTCCATTGCTTGAATATTTTCTTTGGAGTGTGTATTGAGTTTACTCAACACCTCCTACCCCTTTCATGGAGTGTGTATTGTGGCATCCAAGCCACAGCACCTCCTACTACCAATTTTTGGAATGTGTATTGTGCAACTAATCCACAGCACTTCCTCCTTATGACACAGGCAAACCTGAGGCAACAACAGCCTCCAGGCAACAACAGATACCATTCCAAGTCTATGCCCTTGCTATTTGATCACAACAAGTGCACAGGAGTGTGGTGGTACTGGTACCCAAAACCAACAAGCTTACAAACAAAATCATCATAACATCCGCCTTTATAGGCAATGCCGCAACCATCAAC